TGAGATTTTTTAGGTCATCAAGTCCGTTTTTATGAAAAGATATTTTGTGAAGGGTCCGTTAACGGACCCAAATTTCTTCTAAACAGACCCCTGTCTATGTATATTGCTAAGGTCCACTTTGGCAGTTCGGAACAGCAATCATTAATAATATAGCACTACAGTATATAGTAAAAGCATAGATACATGATAAAGAAATGGACTCACCTCAAATTTTTGTATCCTGCCGGAAAAGGCATCTTCTGGAATTGGATAACTAAACACTTTTCCAACAACAGCAGTGGCATCAGAAATTCCCCAGTGCCTTTTGACAGAATCTTTGCCATCGACCACTTTCTCATTCAGTTGCTGTTCTTGGACACCACTGCTGCTGTCGAGGTCCCTCAACAACAATTTAACATAATTTGTTTCGTCATCATCACCGATCACCGCCCAACAAGAAGTTACAAAAAACACCAACAAAAATAAGGAACATTTAGTCCTAGAGCAGAAAGTCAACTGTTTAAAACACGAATGCAGACGCAACGCCATCTCTTGTGCTGGTGCGAAGTTTGGCAGAGACTTTTTATCAGACTTCAAAAATTTGAAGCGTGTCACATTTTAATCAGTGAAGTCCTATGATTAATCAGGTGAAGTGCACTGAAATAAAAATTGAAAACTTGTTAGTTTTATACATTGAAGATAATTAGAGGTAAAATGTTTTAAAGTAATTCATAATTATGTATTTACTTATATGCCATATGCCCTTTTACAATAAAAAAAATTAACATCACTTTAAATTAATAGGAAAAACAAAGGCTTGAATTTCTTAGTATAAACTTTTGATTCAAAAATCACACTCTCAATTATACAATGATCTTGAGCATTGAATTAACCTAGTCATTTTAGAAAGATGATATGTTCTAGCTCTTTATAGGGCTATTTTTTTCAGTAATGTAATGTTAAAATATTTTTGGGATCGAGATTGATTTATAAAAAGAAATTCATTTAGCTTATTAATTAAAAATTAATCTAGTGTTTAAGATTAGACCTTTTGGGTGGGAAAGTGGGGTGGATTTTGAAAATTTTACCCTAGGTAAAGAATTGACCAAAAACTGGAACTTCTGTGCTAATAAATAACGGAATTTAATAGGTTATGTGCTTAGAACTAAAAATAAATTAAATTCGATGAGAAATGATCAAACAAACAAAAGCATAACGCACTAGAGAAAAAATCTTCCAAGTATTGGCCTTGATTTTTGACCCCACGAGAAATTTATTGTTATTCACTTTTAGGTAAACATAACCCGTCATTGGAATTTTTTTTTTTTTGTATTTTCAGAAATTATCAGCAGATGGCAGCACAAACCATAGGAGGGAAAATATTTGGTACCCATTGACATTTAAAAACTAAAAAAGTTGGTGGTAAGTATATTTACCACGGCTTTATATTCAGTTAACAACCGATTGAAATGAGAAAAATTGCGTTATACACCCGAACGTTGAATTTAAAAATTTTTTTACAGCTCTTATTATTTAATTTTTTTTATTAATAGCGAGGGGCTGCATATTAAATATTATATAACGCAACCGTAAATTGCTTATATTTGGTACTGGCCGTAAGAGTCACAGCTTAGGATTTCAGATTATTCAAATTTATGACACAAAAATATTTAAGTGTAATTTCATAAACTGGTAAACTGATAGAAATTTCTCGTAAAAAATTGCCAAATAACAATTGGTTTAATTGTTATTTTACCATATTCAACCAAACAAAAAACTAACCATAAAAAAGATGGTATTCAACTGTTAACTGCGGAAAAAAATCGTTTATCGACTGTTTTCCTCTAATACTGTAACCAGAATTTTATCTGGGCCAACTAGTCCCATCTTATGATGCCACTTAGTTCGTACCTATGCAGAGTTTAACTGAGAAAACTAATCGTCAATCACCTGACCCTGAGCGGTGGTTTGAATCCCAGCATTGTCAACACAATATTTCTTTTATTTCTTAAACACATGAAGAGTTTTGAGTGTCTTGTACTTCCCAGTTAGTGATACTGGACTATTAGAATACGAGACTCTTATTCATGCTTAGATAGCAACACCACAGAGTTGCTTAATACAAAAAAGTCTAGAATTTCCTATCTCTCAGGATAGATGGCACCACCAGATAAACTAATTAATCCACATTCCATGGTTCATTTGACAAACACAACCCAATCATAACACCCAACTAAATGGTCTAATTTCAATGACACCTAACTCTAATTATTCAGTTAAATTTCATTTTCAAGGTTTATAAGCCAACCTAGCTGAGAATGGTTTTTTTTTAAAAAAAAAAAAAAAAAAAAAAAAACGTAAAAATAAAGAAATGTTCATAGCACAGTAAACATTACAGTTAATTGAATGGACAAACTACTGCCGGTTACTGTACCGTAATTTTAGAATACAAATTCTAACAGTATATATCGTTAATTCTTCAATATGTATATTAATTCAATATGTATATATGTATATGTATATTAATTTCAATATGTTCGAATTATAAATTAAAAAATTGAATTACAGCAATTATAATGTAACACGCTTAAGCTATACGTTCGAATGATAAATTTCAGAACCTAATTGCAGCGATTACAATTTAACATCTTCAAGCTGTACGTTCGAATAATAAATTTTAAAACCTAATTATTGCGATTATTATTTAAGATCTTTAGGCTATACGTTCGAATGATAAATTTCAAAACCTAATTATAGCGATTATTATTTAATATCTTTAGGCTATACGTTTGAATGATAAATTTCAAAGCCTAATTACAGCGATTAAAATTTAATATCGTTTAACTATAAGTTAGAATGATAAATTTCAAAACCTAATTATAGCGATTATCATTTATTATCTTTAGGCTATAGGTTTGAATGATAAATTTGAAAGCCTAATTTCAGCGATTACAATTTAATATCTTTAAACTATACATCGAATGATAAATTTTAAAACCTAATTACAGCGATTACAGTTTTCTATATTTCAGCTAAATAATTATTATAGTGTCACAAGTTGCAAGCTGTCATCTTCAAACAAGAGTGAAAGTTAAAATGAAATACACATTCTATATAGCACCGCATGGCGCTCATTTTTTTCTTCTTTCTTTTTTTCTGGCAGAAATGAAGTTTAATGAACACTCGCATTCTTCACACTGTTGGAAAGAGGATAGAAAAAGGTTTTTGCCGTAAAATAAAATAACAAATAAAGCTCTGAGAAAATTTATAGGCCTCTAACTTCTACGCGGTCAACATTTTTTTCATACGCCTCCGCTAAGCTGATGAATTTTTCCTCGCTTTTTCCCTTCACTTTTTTCTATCTTCACTTCCTAGATTTCTCTTAGAAAATATATGGAAAAAAAAAGTATTCTGACTTAGAAAAAACGAAATTTTTACTAAATAACAAAAGTTGTTGAACACAAAATATGAGTTTTGGTTCAACGGCATCACTTTAAGGAGAGAGCCGATATATTATCCAGATATGGATAGATCAAACTTCGCTTGAATCTTTTAATTAATTAATAAAACGATTTTACGAGAAAAAATTTAGAAATTAATTTCGTTATGAAGAGCATATTTTTAACAAATAAACGAATATAAATAAAGAAAATATTAAATGTATTCTACACCAACAATGTAAAAAACACAATAGCTTACACGTACTATTAATTTTACACATTGTATAAATTGTATGTTTAGAAAAAATAAATAAAAAATAATTAAGATAATGGTTGAAATGTTTAATTATTTGAAATGAAACACGTCTTTTAAATATGTCGTCAAATACATTAGAATGGAATGTTTTCTTCGTCTTTTACGAAGTCATGAAAAAGTAAGGCTGGCTAATTTAGGAAAAGTTTTAAATAAAGCTAGAGTAAAAAATTTTTCTTCATTATTTCTAATTATTAATTTCTAACTATTTTGGTCAAAACTGAATTCGAAAGTAAATTAGCTAGTTCAAAAATCAAGAATTTTTAACACATATTGTTAAAAGACTATTACATATATGCATAGCCTTTAACAATTTTTTGTTGAATCTGTAATAGACTTTTAACACCCATTGTTAAAAGACTATTACAGATATACATAGCCTTTAACAATTGGTGTTGAATTTTTCAAAAAAATCTCCACAAATAGCAAAAATGTCATAAATTAAGAACAGCAAAAAAATTCCTCTCAAACAGAAAAATCTGTGATAATCCATTAAGCAAGAATTTCAATAATATTAAGATTATGATCACTCAAACTTTCATGAACTATTTCGCAGAAATTTCTATATCAAATTTTAGTAGAAGGATTTGATAAACGTATAGATTAACTAGGCGTCACAGTGACATTTTATTGGGAAATAGGAATTAAAAAAAAACTACATAAATCTGAAAGAAAATAAAGAGGAAAATAATCAAATACATATCACAGCAACAGATTACATCTCAAATTACAATAAATGTTTTTTTCTTTCTTTTTTAAAGAGCTAAGTACAGAAAAGATTTTATTTTTAAAGAAAAAAATAAAGTGAAAAGAACAAAAGAACATTTCTTTAATTGTCAAACTTACTGGAACTTTTTTTCGGGGCGAATAGGGGATTGTTCAATTTATTCGAAAACGCACTTCTCTTATACTAACACCATAAATTCTTAGGATGAAACAATAAAACCCGGCAGTTTCTTGCAACACGCTTACACAGAATTAAATCCCGAATTCATATTCATTCTTTATTCCATTCCCATCATTCCCTATTTCTTCGAAAGCGGCGCTTTAAAAGAAATTGAGATTACCCCCCTCCCGCTTATCCCCTTTTTCTGATCCGGCTCCTGATTTCATTTTTGATGAAGTTTGAATCCTCTACTTCCAAATGTCCCGGTGTTGGATTTTTTCCCTTTTTCCATACCAAGTAATCAGTCTTAGCCATCGTATCCCCCATATATCGTAAAAGTTTTAGTCATTATTCAGTCGTCCTGCTTTGGTCTGTAAAAGGACGTTTTTTCGGATTTGTTCTTTTACTTTTTTTTTTTTTTTTCGTCCCTCTTTGCTCAGTTATTATTATTACTCGTGCGACAGAGTGTTTCAATTTAGCTTTTCAAAGATAATGCCTTTTTTTCGTTCTTTTTTGCTGATTTCAGATAGAGACGGAAAACTTTTTTTTTTGCCGTTAAAAAAAACTTTTTCAAAATTTTTATTTTCTATGCTTTGTGTGGGGGAAAAGAAAGTATTAAAATGAAAAATAAATTTTCCAGTCGAGGAGGTTTTATTTATTTATCAGTTTTTCGTATTTTTTTATTTATTTATTTACTTCTTGAAAATTTGCATGTTTGATGCTTTTATTTTCGTTTCAAGCACCCATTTTTTTTATTAGAAATGAGAAGGATTAAAAACAGATTTCGAGCTATGATGTTTTTAATTTTACTTTATCCGTTTATACTATAAACTTTATAGGATAGGTAATGTATCAAAGATTATTTTTTATGTACTACAACATAAGAAATTTAAAACAAGAAATATAAATCATTAAATTTCAATGAGCATTAAAACAACAATAATAATGCGATACATTAATTATTTTGCGCAACAGCGCAAACAAATTAAAATAATAGAAACACAATATTTAAATTAGC